ATCTCCTGCCATGGGGGAAGGCTCTCGGGGATTGCCGGACAGCTTTTGCGGCGTCCTCTGAGAGTACGAATAGTTGGGCTGGACGAAGGGGACGTAGCCCAGCAGGGGCGTGTAGGAAGAGCGGAAAACCTGCTGTCCCATCTGCTGTGGACTGAATGGTGTCACCTGCAGGGCAGAGAGGAGAGGGGCTTGGTCCAGCAATGCCCACTGCTCCCAAACGTCACAGTTCCCCAGCCCTAACTCTAACCCTAGCCCCACCCCTCAGCCCCTGTGCCCCTCAGTTGCTACGAGGTGCATAGATGGCGACGTGTTGAGCTGGAAAAAGCATAGGACTCAGCTTTGTATGCGAGACTGGCAAGTTATTTCATTTAACTGAGCCTCAGTTTCCTTATCCATAAAATGGCAAACACTATCTCCATTGTTTGGGGGTTGAGACGGCTGACATATGCAGAGAGACTGGCATATAATAAACAGCCAATGAATATGACTTCCATCATGTCCATTCCCTTTCCCCTACCTTCCCCTTGGTCAATAACCACCTGTTCATTTTTAAGTCTTTTACTATCTCAGTAAAGGCTGTTGAGATTTATACATCCCTGGCTTCTAGCTCAGGATATCATCAGACTCCAAGTCCAAGACAGCCCTGTCCTGTGGAAACTCTGGTGATGGATGATGGAAATCTGCATCTGCATGGTGCAATATGGTAGCCATCAGACACAGGTGTGCTGATTGAGCCCTTGAAATGGGGCTAGTGTGATTGAATTTTAAATTTTACTGAATTTTAATTGATTTAAATTTAAATAGCTACGTGGCTGGTGGTTACAGTGCTGGACAGTGTAAGTGGACAAGAGGCAACGGCATTCAGCTCAAACCCTAGAGAAAACAGGAGCTCACTGGGTTTCTGAGACTTCCTGGGTCAGACCCCCACTGAGAAGCAGGGCTTCCACTATCTTGCCTCTGGCAAGGCAGGGACCCCATCTGTCTTATTTACTGACTTATCCTTAGCCCTAAGACAATGCCTGTCACACGGTAGCTGCTCAATAAACATGTGTTAAATGAATGAGTGCAGGAAAGGAAGAGGAGGGGGCAGCGAGGAAAGAAGAAACTACTAAGTGTCTGTTTGAATATGTAAAATGATGGGGAGCTCATTACATCATGAGCACTGGATTCTACCACTGACAGCTCTGAATGTCTTGTGTGGAGCTGACATCCAACCTCCTGTGTGTTTTGGTCAAAACTGGGGAAAGTTCTAGATTTCCATTTTAACAGTAAGAGTCTGAGGTCCAAGCTGCTCAGGGGTTCAGGGTGCTGACAGCCCTCTCTCATCCTGCACATCCTTATATAATTTAAAAAGATGACAAGGCTAGCAGTTATTAAGTGCTTGGGGTACTCCAGACCCTTCCTCTGGATTCTCTCAATTAAACTCCAAACAGCCTTGGGAAGTAGGGCCATTTTAGAGATGAGGAAACTGAGGTTCAGAGAAATTAAGCAACTTGCTTAGTGTTTCAAGTGTCTGCGTTTTGTCAGAATCCCAGTGGGGTGAGCCCAGAGCCCGTGGCTCTGACCCGTACCTCTATGCTTGTTCCTCCTGAAAGCCTGAGCCCCTCCCTCCTGCCTTCCCCATCTTTCCCTTAGTGGACATGTAGGACTTGCTGATGCTGGACACGGGCATCGAAACCCCAAGAGGATGAGCTAAAGGTCAGAAAGCGTCCAGAGCTCACAGAGAGAACCCAGGAAGGCATCTCCCAGGACAGACACCCGCGGGTCAGCGTGGCAGAAAATGTGCCTGGTTTTCACGGTTGGGGGAGGGGGGCCTGGACCTGCGAGGAAACTGACATGAAAGAGAAGATGCAGGTTCCAGAGCTTATATAAGCTTTACTCAAAAATGTACCCTAAACCATATGTCACTGATAAAACCCATAAAACAGAGCTGTGCACAGGGCTCTGGAATCATCTCCAAAAGACACTCTGCTCGCAGAAGCAATGATAGAGCAGCGTGCCCAGAATACCACATTTGTGTAAAAATGCTTGTATCAATAGGTATAAATAGCAAGGGTACCTAAGATACCAGGAACAGCGATTGCCTCTAAGATTCTGAAAATTTTGGACCATGTTTTTGTATTACTTTTTCAAATACATGCACATACATAACTTTGTCTAAAAGCATCCACTTTGAAACTATGTGGATGGAATCACTGTTCACGGGGCAGAGGGGACGTGCTGAGATTCTGTGAGCCTGCCTCACATTTACTTCATCTCAGGATGCAAAGCTCCTCCTGCTGAAAGAGCAGGACTAGCCCACATAATAAAGTAACCTATACCTGTGGGCTCCTCTCTACCCACTGGAACATTCTAACATCCGTCGGGTCAGAGGTGTGGTTTGCAGAGAAAGGGTGGGGCTCCCCAGGGAGAGAGGAGAGGCCGAGGAGTCTGTGGGTGTGAGTGTGGGGTTTGTATGTGAGGGTGCACGGCCAGACCGAGAATGCGGCCAGTTCTCAGCTCCTTCCCTCACACCTCCATCCCTGCCCCAGGGTGTCACTGTCCCAGGACCTGCTGTCCTGTGTTTTGTGTGCACATGCAGCTGAGCCACATGCATGTAATTGTATCTTTATTTGTGTCTGAGTGTGTATTAGTATTTTTGTCTCTGCTGCTTTACTTTGATACTATATTTTTGTGCATCTGTACACAAAAGGCAGTAAGCCAGAGTTACGGGGGGGACATGGACCCTGAAGCCAGGCTGCCCAAGGTCAAATCCCAGTTCTGCTTTTGTGTCACTGTCAAGCAGATATTGATCAATGACTTACCCAGGGGCATAGGGGAGGGGACAGATTTAGCAAACCAAAATATAACACCCAATTAAAGCTGAATTTCAGATAAACAGCAAAATTTTGTTTCAAGTAAGTATGATCCATGCTGTATTCTGGACATAGCTCTACTAAAATTTTATTCACTGTTTATCTGAAATTTAAATTGAATTAGGTGTCTCGTGTCTTAACTGACAAACTGGCTTGGAAGGGATGACTCCCCAGCCTCACCAATGCTGGGCAAGGCCACGTGATTTGCTTTGGCTGGTGGAAGGTGGGCACCTGTCACTACATTCAGGGTCTAAGCCGGGCCTCCCAGAAGTGTTTCTGCCTGGCCCTCCGGCACTCCAGCCACCCAGCACAGCAAGAACTACTGTATCTGCAGCACGAGCCCGAAACGAGGATGCGTGGAATAGGCTTGAGCCCAGTCCCAGCCCAGCTCAGCCCACCTGTCAACTGTGGGTGAAAATTAAATACTTTATTGCTGAAAATCTTGAAGATATTGAGGCTGTTTGTTGCCACAGCAAAAGCTAACATGTGTTAACTTGATAACCTTGGACAAATTATTTAATCTCTCTGTGTCTCGGTTTCCTCACCTCTAATCTACCCCATAGGGTGGTTCTGAAGATTAAATTAACGCAGGTAAGGCCCTTAGAGAAGGGCCTCGCACACAGCAGGAGCTCTATAAGGGCCAGCTGTTATTGTCACCTGAGGACACTGGTTTGTTTCCACACACATGTTGGTGTTTGTGTCTGTGCTCTGGGGTCAAGGGTGGGCCAGCAATTATGGGGGGTGACCAGCTGGACAAAGGCGAGGGAACAGATGTCCTTGTAACCTGCAGACCTTCGTGGAGCTGGTTCAGAGGTGAAGAAGTCACGTACTCACCTGTCGGGAGTAACCCCCCAGCTGGGGGTGCAGGGTCTGCTGATAAGGCATCCGGGCTGCCCGCTGCGGGTGCAGGCCCTGGGGAGAGAAGGGGGAGGCTCAGCGCCGCGGGGCAACGGGCTCCCAGCCAGAGAGCAGCAGCCACTCAGCTCAGCTTCCAGCTCACTTGCCAGGATCTCCAGACAGCTGAGCCCATCCCACCACACTGCTGGCTAGACCCTCTAGTTGCCTAGTCCAGCTGGAATCAGGTCGAGCCAGCACAACTCAGACCACACAGGAAGCCCGTGGTGAGCAGGATTCACAGCCTTTGCAGTGAATATTTAAGATAAGAGCTTCAGGAACCTGCCTGCCTCTTGAATCCCAGATCTGCCCCCTTAGTGGCTGTGTGATCTTGGGCAAATCACTTAGCCTCTCTGAGTGTCTTTTCTCTTGTCTGTAAAATGATGTGTGTTCAGCGTGTAAAGCCTGTGACAGTAGTCAAGTTATCTTTGTTGCTATCTTTACCTTTTTCCATGTGCCTTTCCCCAAACCCCATCCCTGCCCTAAGACATGAGGTGCCAGTGTGCATCTGTGTACATGTGTGCGCTAGCTTGCCTCCATGTTTATTTCAGCAGATCTGCACGTGTGCTTGCATTTGTGTCTGGAGCTGTGGGTTTCTGTGCACAAATGTGCAACTGTGAGCCCGGGCGTATGCGTTTGGGTCTCTGCTGCTGTGCGTCTATGTGCCCACATGTACACCCGTGTCTGTACCTGACGAGGAGGACTGATGTGAAGATAAATGAGTTCATTCACCCAAAGCGCTTAGAACAGTGCACAGCACATAATAAGGATTCTGCAAGTTAGGTATTTTTACCATCTCTCACTGCTCCCCCAACCCCACACCCTCCACTTGAAGAGGCTGTCTGGCAGCTCAGCCCAATGGGAAGTAGAAACCACACAACTCTGTCCCACGTGGCCTTACATGTCCATGTGTACGCTCACGCACACACGTGCACACGCACAGCAGAACTGCTCCTGTGGGTGGGGTCAGCCCATGACCCCTCCAGTTCCAGACTACCTCTACCTGCCAATCCAGTTAGTTACCCCTAAGATACAATTCAGAACCCAAAGCATCCCTCAGACCATATGTTTTTGCAGAAGATTCTGCACCCCAAGATGCTGCCTCCATTCTGGGCTCAGCTTGTGCCAGTTGTCAAAGTGTTGATGGCTGACACTGTGCCCTTGACTACTTCTTCAGAGTCCAAAGGCTCCTCATAAAAGGCTTTGCATCCCTGCTGCAGGGGCCTGGGAAGTCCCCCAGGTCTCCTGGTGCCCATTTTCCAGGTCTCCAAGAGCGCACATCCTCTCAGAGCCTCCTTGCTCTCTGCTCCCGTGTACCTGACACTTGACCATGGCTGGGCCTCCCCGACTCCCACCAACCCCTTCACCTGAAACCAGTGCACCTGCCCCCTTTCCTTCAAGTCCTGCAGCCCAGGGCAGCCCCACTCACCACGACCACAGTCTGGGCTCTGTGACCCCAACCGTGACCTGAACCAGGACAGAGGAGTCAGCCAGATGGGGCCGTCCTGCCTGTTTCCAGCCCTCAGCTCCAAGGCCAGGTTCTCAGTGTCCCTCCTCAGTTTCACTCCCTCCCCACTCCGCTGTCCACAGCCAGCTCCCCAGGCCATCATCCTCCCCACGCCCAGGATCTACGACCCGCTCTGTCCTGGGCGGATTTTCAGGAGTCATCAGTGTGAGCGACACTGCACGACTTGGAAGGTATTTCTAGTTGTTCAAACTGCAACTCTGTAAAATCATGAGCAAGGATGAACAAACATTCACTCCTCTTTGCTTGAGGCCAAGGCCTCTCCCCCTGTGTGCTCCTTCCTTCACTGGGAGCCGAAGTCATTTATGCTGAGCAGCCTGGAGCCTCTGGAG